CTCCAGCGAGGAGCGATTTTAAGATGAACGAGGAAGAGTAAGCATCCATCTCGAATGCTATCCAGACACTCACTGAGGCCGATCCGGTGAATGTCCGATGGTTAGGGTTGCCAATGAACAGTATTTGGAGTAGCGTCAGAGTAGCCGGAGATTCCTCTAAAATGCTTGAAAATTAAGTTAAATTTCCATAGAGGGTCACTATATTTGTACTCAAATTTGGGTAAATAGATAACAAAGTATGTTTAGATATTAAGTAATAGAGCCATTTGTTTAATTACGTTAAACTCTCCGAGGTTTTTACATTGCTAGATAGAACGGCCTCCTGTTACTTCACAATTGTTTGATTAAAACTTGAATATTGCAATAGAAAAGTTTTTTTTTTCATTTTAGTATTAAGGCTGGAATGTACTATATGATTTGTGGTTGTCTGCTAAGTCGTGCACTGCTTTGGCTCAGGGTAGCAGTTTTCGCTATCTTAGGACGTGCCCGAAGACCATTGTAGATTCATAAAAGGTTATTTTATTGTATAGATGTCATTAAAGAAAAGAAATTGATTTGCTTTTCCAATTTCATGTATCCATTTGAACTCCTGGTTGTCTTGGTAGTTATTTTTCCCAAACGGAATTGCGGATATATATGTCCAAGAAAATGTACGAAAATATCCCGCTATAGCATCATCCATTAGTATGTGCAAATCAATATTCAGATACAATATACAAGTTCCTTTTACGATTTTTTGGGCTTAGATATAAACAATATTAGCACTTTTCTGCGATGAATTGGTAACACTTCTTTGAAGTGTATATATAATAAACATCTGAGAATTCAAAGTTTTAATGATAAATTAATTCAAACTTAATTTTCCTGTATTTCACATTTGCTTTTCCTTAACTAATTGAAGTTTCTATGCTAATTACATAACATGCAGCTTATATTCTTATGCAAGATTGTCAAAAAAAAAAAAAAAAACTACCATAATTTAATAACCATTTCGCTTATTTTCCTATTTAGCTTATCTAGACTACAATTTCATAAGCAATGATAACCAGTGATTCAAGAAAATAATAATAGTCAGTCCTATATTAAGATCATATTGGCGTATGAGATATTCCTTAATTTTACATAGGACAAAACTACGAAGTGAGTAAACACATCTTTGATTTTTTTTTCGTAAGTGATCCAGAACTGCTGATCATATCTTTCATTAAAAAGAACCCATGAATCACAATGATATGTAACCATAATCTTTATTACTTACATAATCAAAACAAACTTAATATGATAGGAAGCCTATAAACATAGAATAATTACTTACTTTTTTTTTGTTGCTGTAATAATTCTAAAGATCTATTAACAATACATGTATACATATGATATATATATACATATATATATTTATATATAATGTATGTATGCTGTATGTATATATATTATATAATATATAGTATATTATATATATTATATATATATAATATATATATGTATAGTATGTTATGTACATAGTATATTATATATAGTGTATTTATATGTATATATATATATATATATATATATATATATATATGTATATATATATATGTATATATATATATATATGTATATAATATGTGTGTATATATAGTTTATATATATATATAATATATAATATATATTTATATAATATGTATATATTATATTATATCATACATAAATTAATATATTAATAATATATAGTAATATATAATATATATATATATAATATTATATATAATATATATATATATATATATATACATATATAATATATATATATATATATATATATATATATATATATATGTATTATATATATATATATATATATATATATAATATATGTGTGTGTGTTGTGTAATAATGTATATATTATGTATAATTTATATATAGTATATATATATAATACTAATAATATATATATAATAGTGACGTTATATTATATTATATATATTATTATACATATATATATATTTATATATATGTATATATATATAGATATATTAATATATATAATATATATATATAGTATGTTATAATATGTATATGTATATATAATTATATATTACATATATATATACTATATATATATATATATATATATATATATATATGTATATATTATATATATATATATATATATATATATATATATATATATATATATATATATATATATATATATATATATAATATATATATATATATATATATATATAGAGAGAGAGAGAGAGAGAGAGAGAGAGAGAGAGAGAGAGAGAGAGAGAGAGAGAGAGAGAGAGAGAGAGAGAGAGAGAGAGAGAGAAATTAAGCATAGTGTTTAATTCAAAGAAAAAAAAGTGATAGTACCAAGTAAAATAATTTGTAAAGTTATGTGGTACTTATTCAGATATCTTTGTATCTGATTTATGACGATATAATATATTGCATAATTTGGAACCCACCTCTCCCACTTTCATATGATTGGTATACAAGTCTTCTTTAAGGTTACAGTTCCATAAGAACTAAATCTTTAAGTCTTCCTTTTATTAAGATGCTAGTAATCATTAACTTTAATATTTGTAACTAATCAAGGTTTTTTTCATGAAAGTAACCCTTTGCCTTTCTTTACTAAATATATTATCTAAAATGAATTTATATATAGGGATTTCACAATGTACTGATTTCTCGTAAACAACAGTTGTCTAATAATGTATTTGAGTATTTCTATTTTCTAATGCACTATGTTTCTAATGCAGATATTTTGAATACTTCAATTTAAGGTATTTATCTACATTTGCTGCTGAAACTTTACCTCTTACTAGCAAAACTATTTAATTTATAATTATACCCTCAAAGATAATTATCAAGTAAAAAAATGTATAATTTCTCTGCTAAGAAAATTGAAAAGTATTTTTCATGGGATAAAAATAATAATGGACAAATTAAATCATCACCATATCATTAATAGAGTAGAGCCAGTTTTGCCAAAAACAAACATTAAACTGAACTTTTCTTCCTTTTTGCCTATCAGTACCTTATTATCATTTAAGTATTTAGGTAGAGGTTGTAAGTACTATGACATAAAAAAAAGAGGAATGTTTCTAAAGTACTGGTGGTCAGGCTGGGTCACACTGTTTGGGCAAGATTTTCAACCTGGAGGATGATAGTGCTCGAATCACCTTCTCTGAGACTGCCTCTCATTCAGTTCTAATTTAAGTGTTATGGTGTCATCTCTAACTGTGCGATTTGTACTAGAGATTCGCTTACCTACAATGTCTTTAGTTTTTTTGTGTAAGGTTAGTATTTTGGCATATTCAGCAGATATTAGGAACCAAGTGATTAATTCCTTATCAATACTGGTCTTGTAATGGGGAAAAAATATTCTAGACAATTTTCAAATTTTATTCAAAATTGGATACCTGTCTTTCTTTATTCCTTTAAAAAGAGGAATTGCTGAAAATGGCAATGAAAACATCTTATATAGTAAAATATATTTTGCTATAACAAAACAGTCAGATATAGAATTCCAAGATCAAATATATATTACATAAAAAAAAAAAAAAAAAAAAAAGCATCCCCCCAAAATATACATACTGAATCCCATTTTTTTATTCAGTCTTCATCAGAATCATATCCAGCCTTCTGTTGTGCTTGAGCACCTGCATTCACTGCAATAAGGAAGTCTTGTTGTTTTCCCTCCTTCAGTCTCTGTCTAATGAGTTCCGCAATAGACTTGTCTGTGCGCCGGTCAAGCTTGTCCAGCTGAGCCTGAATGCCACGCTTCAGGTCAAAGGTGATTTTCTTGGGTGCCAGGTTTGTTATCTCCACCTTAAAAATTGGTTAATTTGTGACTTCTTATGTATACTCAAGGTGTTTTAGATTACACACACACACACACATTTCATTTATTTTTGGTACAAATAATCATGCAAATAAAAAATACTCTTATCTACTTTCCTGAATTATCTTTACTTTCATTATGCTAACATCATTTTCTTTTCTTTCCATCAGCATGCATTCTTATGCTACTCACCTGCACTTCCTCCTTGGCTTTCTCTCCATCATTTAATTGCTGTTTTACTAAATCTTCAACCTTAGCCGGCTCTACAGCTGGAAGGGCGACCTCTTCTAAAGCTTCATCTCTCGGCTTGTAATTTCTATTAGAAATTAGGAAGATATGAAAAATAATTAATGGAAATGATTAGTAAGTATAATACAAACTCACAAAAAAATATTTTGTACTCAGTGCTTTAATATTATTTCTTATTAATACAGTGTTAATATCCCTGCACAAATAATTAATGTAAAATAAATGCTGAATTACAGGGTGCAGATAATCAAGTAATTTTCTTTTCTAAAGGGTATGAATTATGTAGGCTTACATTTTTTAAAATTAAGTATCCCAAATCACCAGCATTGTGTGTGTAGAGTGTAAAGTGTAGAGAGTGCTGGTGTACATGTGCTTGTTCAGCTACAAAGGTGGGTGAGATGGATGAGGTGAACAACTGATTCTTTACAGTACAATTGCACTTCATGTGACAAAATTTAATTAATATTCAAAGTTTCCACAACTGGTGTGTCCTTCAAACACGCCTGAGGGAGGTTTGCCCCCAACACCACCCAAGAAACATTATCTTCTCCTCATTATGTATGACAAATTAGAAGCTCAGGAGCACCAAGTGGATTTGGGCTCTGAGCAGCATTTTATGCAATATTTACCCTTTATTTATGGTGCTACTGTTCAAGGCAGCAGATTCTTTCTTGTATAGACAACTAAAACTTTTAACCCAATCACTCTGGGTGTCCCATATCTGAAACACCCAAAAAAAATACACACTCCGCGCGTCCCGCCAGTGTGACGCTGTGTCGGGCTCGCGCTCCAGCTCAGAAGCGGGCCGCGGCCAGCAGGTGGACAGACTCCGGGAAGCTCTGCCCGATTTTTGTAGCCCCATATTTTTTATTTTGGCTACAAAATGTACCCGGCATGAGTGGGTTAAGTCCTCTAC